GCCGGTGTACTTGAAACCGAAATTGTCATCTAAGCGTTAGGCCGTCGCTGATTGGCTGCTGAGCTGGAATGTCAATTTTTAGTTTTAAATACCCCAGGAAAGTGTTCTAGGGTCTTCGTGTAATTAAGTGTTCGTATGCAAGGGATTTTTCCTCACAAAAACGACGAATTAGGCCGAATTTTGTTATCGGTTGGCTTAATATAACCCCAACGGACCGTATTTTTGTGAAAGATTGGTATTTTTGTCCTGATTTGTAGGAATCTGAAAAACGTGTTTCACAACTTGTCTCTTATTTAGTTTTATGCGTAATTCAAGATGGCGGCCCCCATATAGTAAATATCGTATTTATTTTATTATCACGTGTGCGCCAGCTGACTGTGGCATGACACTACCGGGAGAGAAAGGCAGATTTATAGATCAGCTTTCAGTGTGGACTGGCTATAGCTATGCATTGTTTACTCTAATTGTTTTAGTTTCATATTAATAACTACACTTTATTAATTAAAAAAAAAATGGGTTGCATTATTAAATGAGTTGTTGCTTGTAATTAAAGAAGTGCCTTGATCGTGTAACATGCTGCCAGACCCTGACCTGTTTTTATTATTTTTTAATGGTTATATGTTATATTGAAAAATATAATTTCAATTGTGAAATAAAAAAAGTTTTCCAGTGCTTTATTATGAAAATAAATCTCCAACTTTATTAACTTGTCAGGGTCTGTTTACAAGTTACATGTAGTGTGTAGATGTGTTGTATATTTATATCAAATAGTGTTATTTCTATTGACTTGCAGTCAAAACAAGGATGCAGCCAAGTATCTACCAATGATGTTGAATACTCAACTAGTTTATAAACTACAATATGTACTCGACCAATCAAACAGACTCTTATATAATATACTGTATAAACTACAATTTTTTCTTGACCAATCAAACAGACTGTTATATAATATACTGTATATTCTACAATTTGTTCTTGACCAATCAAACAGATTGTTATATAATAGACTGTATAAACTACAATTTGCTCTTGACCAATCAAACAGACTCTTATATAATATAGTGTTAAACTACAATTTGTTCTTGACCAATCAAACAGACGCTTATATACCTGTGATATACAACTGTATAAGCTTTGTTGTTATTGGGAGAGATGTTATCATTTGAAACTATCTCTCCATCAGTTTGCAAGGATAGTAAAAAGTCATCTCAGCATGTTCAGTGTTACACCTCGTGACGTCAACATCTGTAGCAGTAGATAAGACTTTGTTCAGTTCGTAAATCTGTAACAGGCTTCTTCTGTTCAGTCAGCGGTAATTTAAGAATCATGCGACTATCTGTTCACGCGAGAAATCATGGGATCTGTGTCACAAATACTGTGTAACACTACGTATTAAACATATGAACCCAACCAATCATACTGTTACATAATATACCGTATACACTACAATATGTAGTTGACCAATCATACTAACTCTTACATATTATACTGTATCAAGACTAGAGAAAAACTATTGTTTGGTACAATGATTTTAATTTGTACAATACCATATGAAATAATCGATGTAACTTGTGGAGTTTTTGAGAAACATTCTCTTCTCATTATCAGCAACCCTGGGTTTACAAATAAATGATGATTTTAAAAATATTAAATGTTTTTTTTCTGGGAATGAGTGTGAATGTTGAGATACTATATAACAGTAGAACAGTTGTGTGCATGTCACTGACCAATCTGATTAAAATCCGATGTAGGTATGAGGCTCCAGATTTTTTTTTCTTTTATTATTCTTTTTTTCATGACCACCTCTTTATATAATATTTACCCATTTGTATTTTAGTTTGAATATGTTGAATAATAAACAAAATATTGTAGTCTTGTACCTACATCGGATTTTAATCAGATTGGTCAGTGACCTGCAGAAGCTTTAAATGTCTAATATGCATAGAGCCACCAATGCATCCAGCAATACATGGGACGTTCATCTTCTTTCTTCAGTCTTCACCTTGACTTGGTTTTTGGGATTCAACCACAAATTGCAGTTTTCAATAAAAATTGACAATGGACAATACAAACTCTGACCAATAGATCATTTTCCGTTTACTGCATAACGCGTGAAATCGAACGTAAAAACAGGACAAACAAAGGTCATAGCGTCGTAGTGGCGTCAAATATTGCATGGGATTCGACAAACGCGAAGTATTTTGGAGGACATTTCCATGCTTAATAATGTGCTGTCCACATTTGATGATAGGCAATTTCGATTAAGTAAGGGTATTCGAAAGCAATATTCCTCTGTCGAAGATCGGCCGGTCGATGTGAATTACGAAATAAAGAAATTCTAGTTCAAAATCAAATCGTTCGACTTTTGTGGCAGACGTTCGATGCGCGTCTTTCATACATCTCGCAAGATCTCGCAATTGTACGAAAAATCACCTATTACATGCATATTTATACAAAATATTGTAAATGTATTAATTATTCACTGGGTTTAATTTAGCTATCTTCGCTGATGAGTAAAATCCACTAAAATTAAATCTATGTGAACATGTAAAATAACAATAGAATTTTATATTGTTTTCTGGCCAAATTTTGTGAACTTAAAACCCAGTGAAATTGCTTAAAGCGTCACAATACTGAAATGTAATGCCAGTGAAACTAAATTTGTTTTACAGTACAACTTACTTTATTTAAAACAAAAATTATATGCAAGTCCAATATTCTGTGTTTTACAGAGATTCAAAAAGTTAAATATTTATAAATAGAGTTGATTTGGTATTGTCATCTCAAAACACAAGATTGTTTTTATTTTCTGCATGGCCTAACAATGTTTCTCACTTTCAGTCTACAAAGGCTGCCAAATGCTAACCCATCTCCAATTTCCAACCAATCACCAGTCTGCATATGATACCATTCCATCACAGCATTCTCCAGAAGAATCCAGCTTGTCACCAGTCTCCAGAAACCAGAAACCCCTAATAAGTCCTCTGTTTGAAACACTCTGGTTGTAGGTGATTCAAGAAACTTTTTGATTAAAATATGTGAATGTTGTTTAATTAATTTGCATATTAGTTAGAAAATTAGCTTTTCTACTGATATCTCAAAACTAATCATCGCATGATTAAGAAGGTTCTGGTCAAATTAAAGATTATATTTCTTCTTAATATAAATTCTTATACTGTTAAAACATTAAACAAATTATATGTAATTTGTTGGGTTTCCATAGTGATAGTAGTTTTTCATTATTTCTAATTTGAAGTTATCTGTCATACTACAATGCACATATACTGGGCATTTAAATTGGGCTCGAACTTGATTAAAATAAGGTCAACTAATCGGCTGGAACTAAAAGTACTGTATTCTATCATGGCGCCCTATTATCTATTACTAATCAATATCAAAGCGCCCTCAAGAGTTTTAAGATGTTTATGTAGGGTCGGATGTGTAACTAGTGTGTCCCCCCCCCCCCACTTGTTCCATGGTGATATATAAAATGTACAGGTTTGTTCTATTGTTGTCCAAAAAAGACTGGTAAACCAATCGTGTGAGTCATGGTGAAATTGAGGATCTTACATGTGCGTTGGAGAAAACACGTGAAAAGAATGTTTATTTTCGGGTAAGTCTTTGA